CCCGGCACCGAGGACCTGATTCTCACGGCGATGATCACAAACATGGACGTGCACCGCCCAGAGTTCAAGCTGTTCCCGGCGTACGCGTGCTACCTCCTCATCCGCGGGTGCCAGCGACAGGGCGGGCAGGCGCCACACGAGCGCACGGCCGTGCTGCTGTCCAAGATGGCAACGCTGCTCAAGATGTCGCTGATGGACAGCCACGACCTTGCCTCCCGCGCATACTGGTTTGCAAACTGCTCCGAGCTGTCCATGGTCCTGCGCTCAGACCTGACGCTCGTTGAGTATGGTTGCGCGCGCACACAGCAGGAGCTGGCCGAGATTGCCCGCGACGCGCACGACATGATCCTGGCCACGGTGAAGCGACGGTTCAAGGCTGCGCCAATCGCGCTGCTGTATGACGACTCTGCCTTCCCCATGGCCAACAGCCCCACGCTCCTGGCATCGTCCGTGTCCTCTGTTGCCTCCTCCTCCTCCTCTTCGGCGTCGTTGTCGCTGGCTGCACACCGCGGCCATGCCAAGCGCGGTGCAACTGGCGGTTGCGGTGGCAGTGGTGGTGGGGGTCACGTGACTGTGAGTTATGTCATTGACTCGCTGGATGCGCTGTGGCGCGTCCTGAACGGGTGTTTGCTGTCTGCGCGCACCGTGAAGCAGATCTTTGACTCCACCTTCAACTACATTGGCGCCGTGTGCTTCAACGAGTTTATTGACAACACAGACATGTTCCAGTGCGAGCGCGGCATGCTGCTCCGGTACAACCTGACCCAGGTGTCGGAGTGGGCGCGCAAGCGTGGCCTGTCCACGGACGTCCACTTTGTGCACATTGTGCAGGCTGCGCAGCTGTTGCAGGCGCAGAAGACAAGCCTGCAGTACTTGGACATGATCTGCGACAGCTGCAACCGCCTCAACTCGCTGCAGATGGAGCGCATCCTGTGCAATTACACGCCCACGCACGGGGAAGATCCCATTGCCACCAACCTCATTGACTGCATCAAGGCACGCTTCATGGCCTCCATTGACAAGAAGAACCTGGTAGAAGATGAGTCTCTTGCTGGCCGCATTCACCTCCACCGCAACCCGGACTTTTCGCTCCCCTTTCGCCTCTCCGGCGAGTCTCACATGGGCACGGGCCTGGTGCGTCTTTCTTCATCCGCGCAGTGTTGTGCTGTGCATGGTGGAGTGCTGCTGGTGTATTTTTGTGCGTGTGGTGTGGGGTGTGTGGTTTGTGGTTTGTGTGCGTGGTGTGTGGTTTGTGGTTTGTGTGCGTGGTGTGTGCGTGTGGTGCGTGGTTTGTGGTTTGTGTGCGTGTGGTGTGTGGTTTGTGGTTTGTGTGCGTGGTGTAGGTGTTGTGCACATGGTTTGTGTTTTCCGTGTTCGTGTCACCTTTGGTGCTGTGACAGCTGTACAACTGTCTGTGAACACCATACTCATCACTGCTGCAACCTGAATCATTGCAACCTCTCTGTTTGTTCGCGCCACGCGTTCCAGGTGGATGTCGAGCTGATTCGGAGCGTCAAGGGGGTCATGCAGAACCTGATTGATGCGTCCATGCGCCCGCGCAACAACGACGCCGATAACGACACGGAGAGCGTGGGCGGCAGCGTCTGCAGCGACCTGCAAGCTGAGCGCGACGACACACACGGGCACAGGGACCACAACACCAGCACTGACAGTGGCAGTGGTGATGGTGGCTCCAAGCATGCAGGTGCACAGCAACGTGGGGATGGTGGTGAGGCGCAGGCAGCGAAAGCGGACGCTGAGGAAGAGGACACAAACGCGGAGAGGAATGAAGGGAGGAACTGCAGCAGCAGTCATGGGAGTGGTTCTCGGTCTAGCAGCGTCACCGGGACCGCCAGCACCGCACACGACGGACCGCACAAGCGCTCGCCATTCTCGTCATCGTCACCACCGTCGTCGCCGCATGGCACGTTTGCGCGCGTTCAAGCATCCAAGAACGAGGTGGTGCCAGCGGACGCGTGGGCATCGCTGCACTTGTTCCCTCAGGCGGAGCTTGCGCTTGTCCGTCACCGCCCGCCACTCTCCTTCTTTGACCTGCTCAGCTGATTGTGTTTGTGTTTGTGGTGTTTGTGCGTTCAGTGTGTGTGTGTGTGTGTTTGTGCGTTCATGTGTGTGTGTTTGTGCGTTCATGTGTGTGTGTGTGTGTTTGTGTTTGTGTTTGTGATTGCGTTCAGTGTGTTTGTGTTCATGCCTTCCATTGTCATGTTTGAGAGCAGTGTATGCGTGATTTGCAGCAGTGAGATGTTGCTTCTCTGGTCTCGATTTCTCCTCTTCTGCTAATCGATTGCATTGATGAGCTTTGCGTTTTGTTTTCTCGCTCGATCGCCGCCCCGTTCCGGTACCAGCTCATTGTTATTGTGTTTTCATCGTTCCTGTCGTAGAAGTGAGGGAGGGAGGGAGTGAGTGACGACAAAGGGAAGCATGGTTGCGCCTTGCCCGCTTGGTCGTGTGTATTTTCGTTCTCGTGTTCGTTTCTCGTGTTTAGGTCCACGATATGTATAAACAACCAGCCCACTCATGTGCACGGGAAACAGACAACTCGCCCAAGCTGGTGCCAATTTCTCGAAATTGTACGCAGGCGATGGATGACTGCGTCAGGTGTATGTGCATGCATGCATCGACAGGGCACGAAAAGACGAATGAAAAAGGGCCAAGCAAGCAACCAAGCAAAACAGCATGGCCAAGCGAGGGATGCTGGGGCTGCCGTTGATAGTTGCGCCGTTTATGAGTGTGGTTGTGCATCTGAGGACTTGTTGAGGGCGACAGCGTAAACGTCGTCGTGGTGCAGCTGCGGTGCGTGCGTGCCTGTGCAAGTGCTCGTGTCCGTAGCGAGTTGGTACACGGGCTGCGGTCCTCCCCGGCCGCGAGCAACGGACCCCATTCGCCGCAAACGGAACATCCGATCTGCAGCCTGGCGCGTGCAACGCAATGTGTGAGTGAGTGAGAGTGAGTGAGAGTGAGAGTGAGTGAGTGAGTGAGTGAGTGAGTGAGTGAGTGAGTGTGTGTGTGAGTGAGTGTGTGAGTGAGTGTGTGAGTGAATGGGTTGTAGGCGCATGATTCCCGTAAACTGCAACCCCCCAAAAAACAAAGCGCCTCACCTCGTCGTTGGGCCCTTGTTGCAAGACGTTGACATTGTCGTAGATGGTGTCAAACGCCAACTGCACGTTCTCATATCCGGCGGGGCGCTGCTGCGCTTGGCGAATCTGCTCCACCAAGTTGTCGTATCCACCACGCATACGACTCGCAGCTCTCGCGCTCTGGTGGTGATTCATGATTGGTTGGTGATTGGTTGGTGGTTGGTGAGGCGATCAACGTCATGCTCGCGCAACAAAGAAGAAAAGCAAGCATCACTGCCAAGGGTATTGCAAATAAACCGCATGCCGCAGGCTCCGAACAAATGGGTGCACCTGTTGCATGAGTGTGCTGGTGGTGTGTGCTGCGTGCAAGCACAACAGCTCCGGATCAGCAGCCTGAAACGCCTCCTCTGCATGACTTGTTTGTTCGCGCTCAACAGTAAGCACACGCAGCATTCGCGCCCCAAAAGGCGTCGTGTACTCGACTTGCAGCTGCATGGTGTGTGTGTATGTGTGTGTGTGTGTGCATGTGCGTGAGAGAGACAGAGAGAGAGAGAGAGAGTTTATGTGTGTGTGTGCACGTGCGTGAATTTACACGCGTGCACGTGCGTGAATTTACACGCGTGTGAATATACACGCGTGCTGGACGGAAGCCAGTCACAGCATCAGCAAACACAATGTGCCAAGCAAGCACCGAGCATTCATACAGGCACAATTCGTAGTCATCATGGCCACACGAACTTGAAATGGCAGCCGTTGATCGGCTGCGGGCGGCATACACGGGACAGGGAGCTGAGCAGCCTGGGACGGAAGAATGGCTCCAAACTGATTCAGTACGGTGGTGCGTGGTTAGGACATGCATGTCAATGTGATTTTTTTGTGGTGTATGAGAACGGGTTGGCAGGTGGGTGGATGCATTGGGTCTTGCGAGCGACAAAGCATGCTGTGTCACCATGAGTTCCGTGCACGAGCCCCTGTTTGGGGTTCATGTTGTACCTGGAATGTGGTAAAGACGTCGTTTGAAATGCAGCCAAGACGCTGCGTTTCAAAGCTCATGCCAATGTCAGTGCACAAGGGATGCCCGAAGCGGTATGCCTGCAAACTGCGCAAAGCGGGACATTGGTGGAACACAAACAATGATGAGGCGGCGTGTCAACACGGACCGAAATGGTCAATCAAACAATCGCAAACGATCTCAGCGCAAGTACCTCCACACACACACACACACACACACACACACACACACACACACACACACACACGCACACCAACCAAGTGTGTGTGATGAGCTTGATGGCGACGGAGGACGCGACAAAGTCCTCACGCACAATCTTCCGCAAGGTTTCAGTCAACTGCAGTTGATTGGAATTGTTGGAGGTAACGTAGATGCATGTGAACAGGTGTATATGGAAGACACACGCACGCATACACAGTGACAGTGTGCGAAGGTTGAAACTGAGTTTAGAATTCCATGCCTGTGTTGCCCGCAACACTCCATCACACCCCGCTCGCCCCTTTATGGACCCCTGTTGTGTGTGTGTGTGTGTGTGTGTGTGTGTGTGTGTGTGTGTGTGTGTGTGTGTGTGTGTGTGTGTGTGTGTGTGTGTGTGTGTGT